GCTACCCAGAAATTTTCCCCATAGAACTCAATGCATATTAAAACAGCTCAACCTCAGCTGACAGAGAACCTACAGCTTTAATAAAGATAGGATTTTGTGGGGATTTTAGTGTCCCTTGTCATCCTGAACTTTTTTTCTTCTTAAATCCTTCGGTTTTGTTTAAATCCACACTTTAGTGCCACAAACTCTGCTCGTCTGGCTCTCGCTCTAACTCCCGCTCTGATGAACTGCTCTGATTGGTCAGAGCGCGGCCGAGCCCCTCTGTGCACGTGCGTGAGACCCGGTGTGAGACCCACACATGCCCAAATACAGGCGAGTTTCCCATGGATCTTTGCAAGTTTCCCAAAGTTCTTTGCGAGTTTCAGGCAACTTCCGCTAATCTTTTCAACCCCCATGCCGTCACAAAGCGCCACTGAGCACAACCATTCATTTGAATAGGGCGCCATCTTGAATCGCCGGGGCTTTTTTTTTTTTTTTTTTTTAATTCAAAATGTAAAACATTACAAACTCTCGTAGAGACAACCAATTTCAAGGCAAGGCTTAAAGAAATAATAAAAAAACAAAATTTAAATGAAAATACAAAATCACAAAATAGACACAAAAAAACATATGACACACTGTTCAATGTCTTAACACAGAAGTAGATTTTCAGCAGACTGGTAGATTTGATTAGCTTTCAGATTGGTTTCTATACATATTTTCAGGGAGGACAAATACATTTTAAATTCGTTTTTAAAACATGTTATGTTTGGCAGTTTCTTTTTCCATTTGCTTTTATGGATATGATATTTACCACTTATTAAGACAATATTAACAATTGTCACATAGTCTTTAGTAACATTACTTTTATATACAAGAATATCTTCTTCTGTAAAGTGTGTTAAATTTTCGATTTTTTTATTTAGCCAATTATGAATATCATTCCAGAATCACAGGTGTAACGCCGAGATACACTTCCTTGAAGAGATGCACTTCCCCAGCTGTTTATGATGTAATGCAAAACTGCGCATGCGCGTCTCACGGCAACCGAAGCATACCAAGATGGCGGACCGTGAATTGCTTTAAAAGTTGAAATACGAACGAATTAAGACACGAATGTCACTTTTAATGCAATTTGAGGCGAGATGTTGATGGTTCCGTTTTGTCACATGTGGGTTTTAAGAGTCAAAGTTTCGTGCAAAGTTTAGTTTAAGCAGTCAACTGCGCCTGTGAAACCACAAAGCTAATGTTTTCATAGCAGTCCGCGGCTGCTGACGTAGGCTGATGACGCGTCCTGTGGCAACTCTACAGCTTACAACTGGTCTGTCGGGTTGATAATGGAAATAATAAATTTCATTCAATACATGTATCGTACTGTATTTAATATGATTAACAATAGTGTGTTCAAACAAAATATTTAATTAGATTGATTTTTTTCCCCATTTTCCATTATCAACCCGACAGACCAGTGTAGAGTGGCCACAGGACGCGTCATCAGCCTACGTCAGCAGCCGCGGACTGCTATGAAAACATTAGCTTTGTGGTTTCACAGGCGCAGTTGACTGCTTAAACTAAACTTTGCACGAAACTTTGACTCTTAAAACCCACATGTGACAAAACGGAACCATCAACATCTCGCCTCAAATTGCATTAAAAGTGACATTCGTGTCTTAATTCGTTCGTATTTCAACTTTTAAAGCAATTCACGGTCCGCCATCTTGGTATGCTTCGGTTGCCGTGAGACGCGCATGCGCAGGTTTGCATTACATCATAAACAGCTGGGGAAGTGCATCTCTTCAAGGAAGTGTATCTCGGCGTTACACCGGGGCTTGGGTCAAACCTGAAGGAAAAGCTTCACTTCTCTTCATCTGCTGTGTTTACGATTTAAGCTGTTAGTAGCCTCACAGCGCCGCCCTCAGGCCAAGCTCGTACATTACAATACATTTTTCAGCTTAGTGTAGATGGATACATGGAAACTAGGGCTGGGACAACGCGTCGACGTAATCGGTGACGTCGACGCAAAAAATACACCGACGTATAATATGCGCGTCGGTGCGTCACACACAAAACAAAGATGGCGGCGAGCGGTAGCAATGCGAGTGCCGTGTTAGAGAAGTGCAAGCCGGTGTAACGCTGAGATACACTGTCTTGAAGAGATGCACAGCCTCAGCTGTTTATCATGTAATGCAAACCTGCGCATGCGCGTCTCACGGCAGCCGAAGCAAACCAAGATGGCGGACCGTGAATTTCTTTAAAAGTTAAAATACGAACGAATTCAGACACGAATGTCACTTTTAATGCAATTTGAGGCGATATGTTGATGGTTCCGTTTTGTCACATGTGGGTTTTAAGAGTCAAAGTTTCGTGCAAAGTTTAGTTTAAGCAGTCAACTGCGCCTGTGAAACCACAAAGCTAATGTTTTCATAGCAGTCCGCGGCTGCTGACGTAGGCTGATGACGCGTCCTGTGGCCACTCTACACTCTTATGTAGCCATGACAGGCTGATGGCTCCCACTGTTTTTGCTGGAAAAGCACTCTTTGTTTAGCTTAAAGCCTTCAAGTTTACATTGGTTACTGTTTTCTTTTAGTTGCTCTACACAAGTATTTGGCTGAACTTTTTCATATTTTTATTGAATGCTAAGCATCAAATGTTTGTTTCAAGAATGATAAGATGCACTTTTTTCAGTAAGCTGTGTTTTCAAGGCTTTAAGGTTTTATGCTACCTCTAAGAATGTCTTATTTTTTAATTTTAAGAGCAAGCAATACATATTTTTTGTGAAGGAATTCATGTTTTTTTCATTAAAATATTTAAATCAACATGTATACATCAATATTAGTCAATTAATGGGGAGATAATCGAGAATCGAATCGAATCGAAATTGAATCGAAGCGAAAAAAATAATCGTTAGATTAATCGATGCATCGAAAAAATAATTGCTAGATTAATCGTTTAAAAAATAATCGTTTATCCCAGCCCTAATGGAAACAGATCTGTCCTTTGAGTAAGTGTGGGTGCAACCATCAACTTTTTACTGCAACACTAGGGTTTAACAGAAAAAGCTGTCATAGTTTAGTGTTGAGCATGCTTGCAGACAGAAGACATGTTTTATTGTTGATGGTAGACAGCGTGAACACGAGACCGAAAAACGATTTTACAGACTGCAAGTGGTAATATACAACAGGGAGGAATGAGTCAGCAGCTGCCTCAGTGTGCTTGTAGCTTCCACCTTGAGTTACCAAAACATGCAGTGGAAAAGTACTGGCTTATGCATATGTTAGAATGATGAGTTAGAACTAAAGGACAACTCCCCCTCAAATCCACTTTTTTTTGCTGATAAACGGTATAAATGAGTGTCCAATAGTGTTGTCTACATATCCTGGTCATAATTATGTCACTTTGGTGCAAATTAGTTGAAAGTTAAACTTTCTGCCTAAAACCGTCTGTGAGGCGCCATCTGCTGGCGACCTGTATTACTACATTTGCATTTTGAATCTGGCGCCAACACTGGCGTGCCAGCAAGACCTGACGTCAGCAGCCCCCCGCCCAGAGCTATATAAAGGACCCAGTCTCGTTCACGCCCCCTGTAGTCCTCCAGGCTAAGCCCATTTAGAGGAAGATTTGAACAGGAAATGTGAGTGACGTAAGCTCCGAGGAGCGGGGGTGAGAACCACTTTAACCATAGTTGCTTCAAAGTGTCATGAAATACCTAAATGTTCCATACAGATGATGCTTTTGTGTTGGGTAAACTCAGAGCTGTGTTTCTGACTCTCCATAAATGGTGAGTGATTGTGGGCTCCGCTCGCCCCTGAACACATGTAAACACACAAAACGTGACAGAATTACTGTCGCACACCGCATGAATGCTGCGCTCCTTGAAAGTCTTCTTATACATGATTTGGCCAAGTGTGTTTGTTTTTTTTTCACCTCCCTGATACCATCAAAAGTGACGAGTAGCTCAGAGAAGATTTAAATGGTTGGGAAAAGGGTCCACATGTTTCCAATTTCTTACCCTGTGAACACGCAAACACATGCATGGCTTCTGCTGCTCATGATTGGTGCTGAAACTATATATATTTTTTAGTAATTTTAATTAATTTGGCTATTGTTATTTGTATTTTTTTTAAAATAAGAATATATTGAGTATAAACCAGCATTAAAATTGTTACCATAACTCCATATATGATTCGTACATTAGTGCTGCTTGGTTAATAGGAAACATAAATGATTGATAATTAGGCTCATCTGAATCTCTTTTCCGCTTATCTCTATCGTTTTTGTCACTTTAGAACTAACTGTGAATTATCATCCTTTTTAACTAATGGGATCCAGAAAAGAGATGTACTTAGTCGCTCTTTCCTGCTACAAGTTCACTTGGCCTCAAATCTGTGACTTTTAAATGAAAGTCACAGATCACATATTTACCACAAAATGTAACCTATAAAGTGTTTGAAGTTTTAAAGTTTCTTTTTGGGTTTGGCGTCCATACAGCCTTCGTCAATGGGAAGTCTAAACGTTCCCCTAACAGTTAATCTCTTAACACAAAAGGCCACTTTGTTATTTCAACTGCTTTGCTTCAAAATGCAAATCTGCGAGGAATGTTTCTCCAAGTCTGAATAATGCAGCAGTTTCCACGTTCTCTGCATATTATAAAACATATAACATCCTCCTGAGATTCAAAACTTGAACCTCACAAAGTGGTTTAACAGTGCAAATAACTAAAACTGTTGTCTAACCCTCCATCCCACCCCCATTTCTTCCCTCCACCCCCTCTCTTCTTGTCACATGTTCCTTTCACAGCATAGAAAAGTTCCTGGATTAGGGCAGAATTAACACAAAGCAGCGACGCCACTCCAGCTTCACTTCCAACAACAGCAGCGAGGCAGAGGAGGACTGTGGCACGGCCGGCTCAAGACACACAAGTGCTTCGCGACATCTCCCAGAAGTCCACAGTGCACAGACAGGCGGCACCATCCCCACACCGGCACAGGCAGCCAGGATCTACGGTGATCAAGTCCTGAAGGATGGAACAGAAGCAATGTACAGGGATACTGGTAAGTTTGCCGCTCACTATTATCTCTCACTCAAACAAATACGTTTGGAATGAGCAGGTTTGGAACATTACTATCTCGCCCATTCAAGGCCACATGTTGAGTAACAGCATGCACTCTTCTCCCCTTTGTAAACCAACCGCATAAAGCCTTGACCTAAAGCTGGCACAAGATGACAGTTTTCTCTTGCAGTGCCAAGTGCAGAGCATCTTACACTGACTCGATCACTTATTTATGATATTTAATAGAAAAACCAGCTTTACTCACAGTATACCAGAGTAGTTATGGAGCTAAACTATATGCATTATTATTATTTCTTTATTGTTTTTGTTAAAGCCTGAGGTAAATGTGTCAGTGTCCGTCCTGGACCGTGGGTGAACTTTTCAATAGGGGTCCGGTGTCATTGGCAGTCAGGTCACTGCTCACTCTCTCTGCTCCTCACCAACATTTTTTGTCCTTCTAACTCTTAAAGTTGTTCCTTGACATGCTTTCCTGATTTACGTCACTGACACCTTTCCTTTCCTTTTCTTTCTTTTATATTTGAAACAATATTTCTTTCCAAGTTAGAAAATAGGCAGATAAGAAAGGAAACATTTGAGCCTCTCTATGAGGGAAGATGTGTACTGGATATCTGTTTTTTGTTTTAAAATTTGACATCTGTTCTTTGAGTAAGTGTGGGTGCAACCATCAACTTTTTACTGCAACACTAGGGTTTAACAGAAAAAGCTGTCATAGTTTAGTGTTGAGCATGCTTGCCTCAGCAGGTTGTTATTGCCTTACCTAGGCACTAGAGGGACATATAATGCATCATATCAGCTTGTTTCACGATATGCCACACCACCAAATAAAGGCGTTGTATTTATCCTAAATGACCCAATGACAAGATTTCTAAATAAGTAAAGATCACTTCCTTATTATATGATTAACTGTTGTTTCGTCAAACAGCATTTTCTGGAATTGGGACTAGTGATTGTTATAGAAGGTGAGAAGCTTTGTATTAGCTGACTGAAGTCTTTATTCACACAATTTAAACCAACCAAACATAAACACAAATAAACAAACGTTGCAAACAAATAATTGTGATGGTGACCAATAGCTTCTCTGCATAAATATTGTACACATTTAGTGTAATATTGCTGGCTGACAATGGTGTTTGCTATGTTTGTATCATATAACGCTATGTTATATGCTTGTTTTAGAGGCTATACTGTCCATTGAACAAATATGATTATCAAACTACGATCAGAATAATGACCTTTGAGTCAATCAGTCATGATAAGTAAACTCTTTAGAATGAGGACGCCATATTTCATTTTCTTGAGAAAAGTAGGACAATAGTAAAAGAGTAACATGCTTTTATCTATACTGAAGGTAAACATGGGCTAGTCTCTGTCCAGTGGACCTCCGCTGTGGGACGCACACAGCTGCTGTGCTCATGGGACCATTGTCTCAGTGGTGACATGTAGTGACGGCCCCAGGGTTTCATTTGTGAAAAACAATGTGAAAGCTGATAGATCTGTAGCAACTTTGATGTCATTTGTTAGAACAAATGATAGAACAATCCTGATTGGAAGTTTGCTCTTTACTTCCTCCTCTAAGAACTTATTCATGCTGGCCAAGTAGAGGGAGCCATCATCCTAAATCCTGAAAACACAAGGCCCTTCCTCCTTGCTACTATTTGGCCTGACTGGTAACCTTCTGCCAAAACGATTGTGTCCAAACTTAATTCCTTACCTTATTTACAGTTTTCAAATGGAGCTCTGTCTCGTTAATCTTTCTGCATGTCACGCCTGCTCTTGCTGCACTGCTTCCTCTCAACGGACGAGCAGATGGTGCTCTGGCACAAGCAGAACTGGACCTGACGTTGTCTTTTTATCTGTACGCCACAATATGTTAGCTCGGCCTGTCTGCACAAGGATATATGTTTAGGGATGTAAGAGGCGCAGAGGCGGAGTGAGAGGAGGCTGCTTCAGTCACAGACCATATGGAGGTGGCCTTACTCTATGGCTTTACATTTGGTTCTTGAATAAAATTTGTTGAAACCTTCATGTTTAAGACAATAGAAAGGAACAATATAACTATGACATGGAAATGTTTATGTTTTTGTGATTACAATCATACAGAGGGTTAGTATTCTGAAATGCAGGTTTTCATGAAGATGACATTCCTATGGAATGTAGTGTGTGTGATGCATGGCCCAGGGCTGTGCTACTAATGTGTGCTACAGGATGTGAACTGTGAAGTAGAACAATAATAATAAATAGTGTGTGCACAGTGAGCCCTTGGTCACCACACAGAGACTTATATCTGGGGGCGAAATATATACTCATGATGTGGCCTGTGTTCAAATATACTTAAACAAACTCAAATGAAGGAAGTGCACAACCATGCATCTTCATCCAATGAGTATGATAATCCATTGGTCACTATCAATATGATTTCAGAATCAGAATCAGAATCATTTGCCACGTAAGTAACAGGAAGTCACAGACTTGGAAATTGCTTTGGCTCAATGCAACAGTCAGAAAGAGATAATGAAAAATAAAGAATAAAAAACACTTTTAAGGAATACATTTAAATTTAAAATAGAGTTACAATTACTATTTACAATATACAAGTGCGGGGCGACAGTAGCTCAGTTGGTAGAGCACTGGCCTTCAGGCCTGAAGGTTGTGGGTTCAATTCCCACCTCCACACCTTCTCTGACTCCCACTGATGACTGCTGTCGTTGTGTCCTTGGGCAAGACACTTAACCCCACTTTGCCCAAAGCCCCCGCTGAAAGATCAAGGCTATGCTCACACTCAGAGAGCAGCCGTTCTCCTGTGGACTCACCACCTGCAGAGGATCAGTAAGGGGCTGGTGCTTGGGGGGCATCTCTGACTGCCACCCCCCTGACCCAGAAATGGATTAAAGGGTAGAAACTGGATGGATGGAATATACAAGTGCACATGGTGCACACAATGTAAGGTGACAGCAGTAAAGTGACGTATGATGGGCAGTAAAGTGACTTTAAAAAGGGCGGGGGGATAGGTTAAGAAGAACAGCAGAAGGTTATGGTCCTGATGGGCCGCAGTCTCCTGCCTGAGGGGAGTGGTTGGAATAGTCCATGTGCAGGGTGAGAGGGGTCGGCTGTGATACGACCAGCCCGGCCTCGAGCTCGGGCGACGTACAGGTCCTGCAGCGATGGAAGGCTGCGGCCGATCACTTCCTCTGCAGAGCGCACAATGCGCTGTAGTCTCTGTTTGTCCCTGACTGTGGCTCCAGCGACGGTCACACACGGTCACACGGTGATGGAGGAGGTGAGGATGGACTCGATGATGGCCGTGAAGAACTGCACCAACATCTGTGCAGGCAGCTTGGCTTTGCTGGCCTTCTTGATGAGGGAGCTGATGGTCGGCTCCCACTTGAGGTCCTGGGTGATGGTGGTGCCCAGGAAACGATAGGACTCCACAGAGGTGATGGAGTCCATCACGGAGGGTGGGGGCGGGGGGACAGTGCTCTTCCTGAAGTCCACAATAGAGTCAAGATTTGAAATTGAAAGCAGTATCTTTTATATTGAGTGCCTTGAATTGTTGCATATAATTGGATGCTGGGACTTGTAAATATTTGTAAATGTGATTCCTCAGCAATATCAGTACAATTTATATTAAAGAACCCTTTGTTTGTGCTCACATTTTTTATTTCAGTCGAAACATTGCAAGGAGTGTGTGTCCATCCAATTTTTGCCAGTTGAGTTAAATGTGCTTACTGACTGTCTGCCTTTGGGGAGACAGACTAACAGATGTGAACTATAGAGAATCTGCTGAAGCCTGGTCTAGGAGAAGTTAGCTTGCCAGAAATGGGTAGTACGGAAAGCCTGAGTGAAAAGAAAGAGCATAAAATAAACATCAGTTTAACTGCAGTCACTGTGGCAAATGTACAATTGAGGAACTAGGCCCACAAATTCCAAACACGTCCACTGCTGGGCACTCTCTAAAAGGTATCCCACCCCCAGTGTATGTTTATGCACACACCACCACCGCTCTGTGTTTCTGGATCTTTAGATTTCATTTGGTGAAACCACTCAAGCTGAAAATGTACTTCTTCCACAAATTCTTCCTCCCTTTTTATGGCTTAATGGCCCTTCTTTTTATATTGTGGTGACAAATAAAACATGTGGACTTCCTCTCCTTTCCTTTGAAGTGAGGACAATTATATTCAGGAATCCTACGCTTTGGACTATTTCAATCTTTCAAACGTTTGTGTGGACAAAACGAGTTACAGGCTACAGTCACGGCTTATAGAGGCTTGTCCTCTGCATGTTTTGAAGCGGTCTGCTCCAGGGACTCCCATTCTCTGACCCTCACAGTCAAAGCGTGGTGTGACTCCAATGAGCTCCAGTTAGTTGTTCAAGAGTATGGGGCTTTGGGTAATTTTGCAGCAAACAAACTGTAAATTAATTACACTTGTTCCTTGTTCCTGCTCTAACTGTGAGCACATCACCAAAGCTCACTACAAGCCGCGGTCACATACAGTGCCTTGCGAAAGTATTCGGCCCCCTTGAACCTTTCAACATTTCGCCACATTTCAGGCTTCAAACATAAAGATATAAAAATGATTTTTTTTGTCAAGAATCCACAACAAGTGGGACACAATCATGAAGTGGAACAAAATTTATTGGATAATTTAAACTTTTTTAACAAATAAAAAACTGAAAAGTGGGGCGTGCAATATTATTCGGCCCTCTTGCGCTAATACTTTGTAGCGCCACCTTTTGCTGCAATTACAGCTGCAAGTCGCTTGGGGTATGTCTATCAGTTTTGCACATCGAGAGACTGGAATTCTTGCCCATTCTTCCTTGCAAAACAGCTCGAGCTCAGTGAGGTTGAATGGAGAGCGTTTGTGAACAGCAGTCTTCAGCTCTTTCCACAGATTCTCGATTGGATTCAAGTCTGGACTTTGACTTGGCCATTCTAACACCTGGATACGTCTATTTGTGAACCATTCCATTGTAGATTTGGCT